AGAAAGGTACGTGAGCTGCTAGCACACGGGACGGCTCGGGAACTCGAGCGAGTCAGCTTCTTATAAACACAGAGGTGTACTGGTGTCCTTCATGTGCAAGGGGCAGGGAGATGAGCACTCCATGTCACCCCAGCAGTCCCAGAGTCTCCCTCTCCAGCTCTGACAGCCAGGCCAGGCCTCAGCACAGCTCCCAGCAACACACAGACAACAGCAACACCCAAACCCAAAGGAGAAGAGAAAGGAAGGATTAGGAAGTCGGTACCCAAGACCAGCAGACGCTCAAACCGCGGTGCTGGGCGCAGGCCCCGGAGCACCCGGACGAGCAGCCAGACCAGGAAAATGCACACTGTCCCCTGGGAAAGGATAGCAACAAGAACAAACAGAAATTAAACATTTGCTCAAACTACAACCGCTCTGTAGGCAAAATATTCTTTTTTAAAGATGGCTTTTAAATCTTCATTTTTAAACTCCTTTTTAAGCTACCTAATTACGTGTGAGGATGATTTCTAAAACCCATAGTGTTGGTGTCTCTTCTTCCTCATAGCATTTACACCACTCTGAAATCCAGCAGTCACACATGCATACTCAGGTTTGGATTTTCCTCTGGAAACAGCTAGTCTTAAGTTACTGGGCTTTTGTTTTGTCTTCTTGATCCAGGAGGCAGAGAAGGGGCTCCACGCTGTGTCTGTGGATCCCCCTCCCTTCCCCCAGAAGTCAGTTTTCTCTTAAACGCTCCTCTTGTCGATACCCGTTTTGTGTGTTTGTGTTTTAAGACTGTCCGAAGGGATAAGGACCGTGGAAACCCTGAAAGAAAGTTGGAGACATAATCAATGTCAACAAGCAAGGAACAGAACTGCTCAGTGCTCAGCTCCAAGCACTGCCCAGCCCAGCCCAGGGCTCCCCACCCAGGGGCAGCCCCTCACCCCAAACCTCAGGTTCCAGCGCTGGTTTCCCTGGAGAGGGCAGACACCACCACTTACCTCTGTCAGGTGTATTTTAGGCCAAGGCCACAAAATAACTTGTGTTTTTACACCAGAGCAAGAGCCCTGAGACGCTCCAGCCCTGCAGCCTCGCCGACCGCCCCAGCACTGGGCTGTGCCGGGGGGAAGAGGCTGTTTCACACAAGAACCCAAGATGTGGAAATCCACACTCCCACAGCTGCCACGTGTGCCCTCTCGGGGTAACAATACATTTTCCTCCCGTGAAATCGGCCGCAACATTTACCAAACCCTCAAAATGCTTCCTACAGAATCCATTCCCCTCCTTCACATCCTGAAGTGAGTCACCTAAGTGTCAGACCTAGCCACAGGTCTCAGATTAACAGGAACTCTGCTGTAGCTGCCATTGTTGGGAGCAGCTGTCCGGGGTTCCACCAGGAAGCAAAGGACAGACCCGCAGGCAGCAAGAGATGTCCCAGCTCACGGGGAGGTGAAGCTTCTCAGTGATGAGGCACGACCCCCCACAAAACCCACTCCTGCAAGGTCAGGAGGGAGACGAGGAGAACTCTCTCTCGTGGCAGTCGGAAAAGCACTATGCAAATGCTGTAAACAGAGCCCAGCTCTTCCCAGCACGGTGGGAAAGGCAGCGAGAGCCAAAGCCATTCCGGCTCGGGCTCTGCGTGAAGCTCTCACCCAGTTTTCACCATTTTGCCTTTAGCAGAGCAGGTTTCAAAGGAAACACCATTTCCTGAGTGTTCTCCTACAACTCCATGACTTCCCCAATGGAGGGGTCATGGAGCCACGAGTCTGAACACAGATCCTGGAGAGAACCCCAGGCTGGAGCTCTGCTGCAGATCTGTGCTAGGCAGGAGGTGCCGCGGGAAGTCTGTAATCTTGGTACAGCTGGAGAGAAAAGGCTAATTCTTTGGGATCTATCGGGGGCAAATACGAGTGAATGGTGTAACGAAGCAGCACTCAGAACCCTACAAGAGGAGGATCAGCAGACAATTAACCAGGACATCTCCTGAACTGTGTGGGAAGTACAAAAGACTGGGAACATGGAAATTGCTGTTTGCAGACAGAAATACACACAAGTGATGGAAAAACAAACACATCTCTATCCCAGGAATATGCTGCAGCCCCAGTTTTTAAAGCTCTTCAAAAGAGAACAGGCAGCAGATTCCAGCACGACAGCTCACCTCGGGAAGGAGACAACTCCCACCAAAACCCAGACTGAGACACCCAACGCTTCTGAAAATCAGCCGTGGAGCCAGGGGGAAGGGGAGGAGCAGGAGAGACACTAAGATGGTGTGAACAGGGGCACAAAGAAAGGACACAGAAGGAAAGCAATGCACGAGCAGGATCCCAAACAGTCTCACCTCACAGAGATTAAACAGGATTCGCTGCCAATTACCTGTCCAGACTCATCTGCCAGAGTCTTTGCTTTTGGGATGGCCACTCTTCACTGCATTTCACCTCCCTGAGACTCATTTCTGTGCCTGAGAGCTTACAAATTCAGCCCCACTAGTGTCTCAGCTCAGTCAGACCCTGCCCAGCCACTCTCCCCTGCCCAGCCAGCCCCGAGCTCTGCAGACACCTTCCCATGACACCTTCTCCACACACAGCATAAGGGTTTGATGCCAGAAAACTCCAGTTACTGCTGCAATACAAATACCAAACCCTTGTGTGACATTTTCAAGACTAATTATCTCCTCTATGCAACATTTTACATCACAGACACGCAAAAATAGTTCTGCAGACAATTGCAGTTTTTCCAAGTTGTCTCAATGGAAGGATTATTCCCACTATTTTTGGTGCATTCCCATCTATTCTCCACGTGGGATCACTGTCTCTATGCAAAGCTCAGCTGCAGCTTTGTGAACTCACTTTCAGTCCTTCCAGCAGGTTCCACAGCAGTAACCGCTCCCGTGCCGGCGGGACCCCCCGGCTCTGCACACACACCAGTGAGAGCACACAGGACTCTGCACGGCAGCTCCTGGTGTGAATCGTTTGACTGGTGCACCTGGGAGGGAAGGGAGGCGTTCTGGGAAGCACTGGGCTCTGCACAGGGAGACAGCTGCGCCGGAACGAGGCGAGGACTGAGCGAGCCTTTCACAGACCATCACACACAGGTTTTCAGACAGCTCTTTATTTCAGCTGTGACTGAGTCACCACCAGTGCAGGTACACTCGCAGGGCCGGGGTGGGATACACGCTGGCAGCACGGCGCTCGCCTCGCTTACGCAAACCCGGCACAAACCCGGCACAAAGCACCCGGCACTCGTGTGCTCTGTCATGCGTGCTGTGCAAACACGGCGTGGCAGGGAGACCACCAGGAAGCGCGGGACCTTCTCGGAGCAGCCCCCTGGCAGGGCTGGTCAGGCACATGGGGCTGAGTTACCAGGCACAGCCTCGCTGCCGTGCTGCTGGGCCAACACAGCAACTCCCTGGGCCGTGACGGGGCAGAGCCAGGCTGAAATCAGATTATCTGGCACTTCCCGCATTCCAGACGCACAGGGGTGGCTGGGGCTCCTGGATGAGCTGACATGCAGCAGCACCCGAGCACTCTGACCGGTCTCTCACCAGAGCAGCAAACCAGTTGCCGTGTCCTGTCCAGGCAAACCTGCACAATCACAACCTCCACACAGTTTTCTGCATGACACAGAGAGCAGCAACTCCTCAGTTCATCTGGGCAACGGATTTAGATACAGACATGTATTTTAAACACAGGGAAGTACAATCTAGATTGTCAGTACATGGCTATTCACTTCCCATCTCCCCAGACCAGGAAACCCGTCTGTTTCTTTCCCCAGTTACGCGATTAAACTCCAACTCCCAGGCACTGTGAGACTGGATCGTGTGCTTCTAACGGCAAAGGCAGTCACAAGAGAGCAGCAGTGACCACACAGGGTTGCTATGAGAGAGGAAGAGTAAATAGCAGGAAGCTGTATCAGTCCCAGCTCAGAAAGCAACTGCCAGAGAATAACACACCTGTGCACGGCGTATCCGGGCTCCAGTGCACCCCGTCCCGCACTTAGCACATCTGTGCATCTAAGAGCATGCAAAAACCCCACTGGAATAGACTGAGCGAGAACACGCTCCACGCAAAGCCCTGCCACAGCCCCTGGCCTGCAGCCCCCCAGCAGTGCCCGTGGCAGGGTGGGAGTAGAGGGCACCCACTGTGCTCCCACCATGCCACAGGTTTCAGCCATGGACAGGGAGTTCTGTGTCTGTTTTTCCCTAGGGAGAAGAGTGCCCAAACCACAGAGCCTGCTGCTGTAGAACGGCACTGTGGATGTTTCCAGGTGGGAATTGCTGTGCACTCGTCTAACCCAGCAGCAGATGGCACGTTGGCATCGCTGCCATCCCGACTCCAGTGGGGAGTTCTAGAGGATGAGTCACACCTGCTCAGTGCACCAGAGGGAGAACTAATTCCAGCAAGGTCTGGCAACTTTGAATATGTTTTACAGCTGCAGATGCCAGAAATTGCTTGTTTGATCTTCAGGATTTCATGGTCTCATGCAGGTCCATGACTAGGTTTCCCCACAGCCTCCACAGTGACCCTAGAAATGCTTGAGGGCTTACTTCTAAATACAGGACACAGGCCCTTCTGAAGACCTTCACTAGAGCTGAGCCATCCCCATCGCTACATCTCACCACGTCAAACACGGCCAGGGATTCCCTCCTTCCTTCCCTGGGTACATGAACAGCCACAGAGATATCAAAGTCCTGCTCAGGATAACTAAAATCCAGGAATCCTGGATGCTGTGCTGCTGTGTAACCCACCACAGAGCTCTTTTGTCTGCTCCCAGACCCTGAAATAAAACCTTTCACATCAATACTCAAGCACAAGGCAGCAGCTCCCAGTGCAGCAGTTTTGTTTCCCCTCTCCAGCAGCAGAGCACACGTCAGGCCCCTGAGAGATGTGGGGAAGATGGGCCAGGGAGAGCTGCCCCCCACAGATACCAGAACTTCATCTGCTCATCAGGTGCTGCAATACTCCTGACATCACCTCCAACAACTCCTTTTCCACTGCAGTAGCGTTACCAGCTGGGGACACCACGCACACATCACCCCTCGTGACTGCAAACCAGACCAAGTGTCTGGGATGTCAAACTCCCCCAGGCCGTTCCCTACAGACACAACACTGCACCAGCATGAACACCAGGTCTGTGGCAGAAACCCTTCTGCCCTGGGCAGGATGGGCAAGGCAGGAACAGGACTCTGATCTTCAGACCTACCTCAACGGCCTCAAAAGGAGAAGCTGACGTGTTTTATTATGTCACAAACAGAAACACTGCAGCAGAGACAAAAGCCCTCAGAAATCAATGAGCTAGATCCCACTCCCTAACCAAAAAAGGACCCAAAAGTTATCCCTTCTGAAGTAAGCAAACAAAATGTCTGCTTTAATCTTGGATAATCCTCCTCAAATCCACCCACGAATATTCTGCAAACACAAAAAGAAACAAACAAAAAGCAACTCCAAACCAAACCAACAACAGAAAAGGGGAGGAAAGGTTACCTGTCCTACACCTGGGGTTAGACTACAGCTGTGCTCTGGTTCCTCACACCCGCATCCTCAGAGCAGCCAAAGCACCTACTCCTCAGCCAGCAGCCCACCGGGGCTTCCTGGAGCCCACAGCACTCTCCTCTCCTGGGAAGGGTAAGGACACGCCACAGAACAGCCCTGGTGAAAACTGAAGGCCACATTCCTGCAAACCCCACAGCCAGGGATCCTGCACAGAACTGCCTCAGAGTGCAGGTATCAGCAGTCCCACACCTGCCCACCTGATCTGTAAGTGCAAATCAGCTGCAAACAACTGCCACTCTGCACTCAGAAAACAGGGACGGTGAAACACAGCCACCTCCAGCCCACTAACGGTGGAACCAAGTCTTCCCACCTAAATCACACCCAGATTCTACCTGTGAAAGGCTTAGGCAGAGCTGGGCCAGGTGCTGAGTTTGGTTTTCATCAGCTGATAGACAAGGTCTGTCTCGAGGAGCAGCACTGCCCTCCTGCAGCAGCGCCCAGGTCCTCGTGTAGAGCCACCGCAACAGCGACATCCACCACTAACTCGGGTGTTTAACTGACAGGGCACGGCCAGAGCCAGGCCCCCCTGGGAGCCAGGGAGGCAGCACAGCCGCGGGGCTGGGGGCAGAGCAGGGGCAGCCTGGCACACAGCTCCCCCGCGCACCTCGCCCTGGCGCAAAGGTCGCTGCGACACGATCCGCTGGCCGAGCACAGGCACCCAGGGAGGAACTAAAGTGCTGTAGGTGAACTAACATCAGGGCTTTATTAAGTCATTCAGCAACCAAGTGTTATTGTCCTACACAGCCTGCTCAAAGTACAGTGAAGCATTTTAAAGGACTTTAAAAACCAAACTAGTTTGACAGACAGTACACACCTACACATACTGCAGCATTAACAGGTGGATTCCGGATTGTAAATAATCCTGCCATTTATTTTTCACACACAAGCAAATAAAAACAGTCAAAATATCACTCAGACTCATATAGCATCCACCAAGCAAGCTTTTGAGAGATTTAAAGTAAAGATAATTTAGAAGTCACCTACAATGGGAAACAAGACGAGGACACAGACAGGAACGGTCCTTGGAGTGACAGTTCCTGACAGGCAGCTGCTGGGATCAAATGGTGAGCTCTGTGGTCTCCCCACACCAGCTAAGAAGGTCTCTGGTTAATCTGAAGTTTGGGGTGTGGCTATTTGTTCTCTGTTCAAAATTATGCAAAACTCAGGACACATCTAGAGAGATATTTTGACTTATTTGCACAGGTAACTGGAGGAGGCTCCAGCCACTTGCAGTTACAGCACCCAGACAAGGTTATATCAATCTTAAGAAGGACTTGCAGCAAAAACAAAGAAGTGGATCTGGTGGAGTCTATCGGAGGCAAAAATATTTCAATATAACATGAGGAGTTGGCAGAGTCAGTCAAATTCAGAACCTTCCTTAGCAGGTCTGGCAGAAGCAGAAGGGAAGGGCTTTGCAGTTTGGAAGGAAGAGCAATTACACACCTGCCAGGCTCCTCCCCTACCCGTTCTCCTGCTCGCCCAGGGCACCTACCTTACTGTACGTCACTACCGACAAGTTGTTCGAGTGACTGCTGGGGGAGAGATTTACAGAGTTTTGTGACAGTCCATTCTGATCTTGTTCGATTTGGTCAGGAGCAGGCCCCCACGTGTTTTTGCTGATTGTGCCTAGCTCGGAACCCCCAGGGTCTTTTAGGTTGTTTTCGTCTGGTTGCCTGTTCTTCTGTGGAGAGGCGAACGGGTTAAAGTTTCCTTCTACCTTGCGATGTGGCTGCGTGTTGAACTCTGTTTCAAAGGACGACAGCTGCTGCGTGACACCCAGAAGTCCTCCAACTTCCACGCTGAGGATCACCCAGATGACATCTGTGGAAAAGGAGACACGTTTGGGTCGCGGGGTTAGGTCAGCAGTGGAATGCCAGAGCCAGCCGAGGACGGTGGGGTTTGGCCTTAAGGCCCCCAGTACACACCAGTGACCCCAGTACACACCAGTGAC